AGTAAAAATAATAGTTAGGGTTAGATACTAACTATTTACTAATATAGACTTTAAAACTAAGCTTTAGGTTAAATTATCTAACTTAATATACTTTAAACTAGAAGTTATAATAGTTCTAATTATAGTCTTGCTATTAGTTTCTTTTAGTTAGACCTTAGTCTTATTAATATTATATAAATTAGACTATAAGATCTTTTTAGACTTAATAATATAAGTAAGACTATTATAGTACTTTATAAGTATTTTCTTTATAATATAATGCTTTTTTATAGTATTTATAACTCTTAATAGCTTTATTTCTATTATCTTATAGTATAATATAAATCTATTAACCTAGTTCTTACTAAGATATAAGATATTCTTATTAACTGTTATTAAAGCTTATATAAAGTTATATATTTTTTGCTTTATTAATAGCTAAAAACTATGTTTTTTTTTAATAATATAGTTTATAAGGTTTTCTTTTTATATAATTATTAGTAATAAGTCTTTCTAATATACTATTCTAATATTTTAGGCTTTAGTATAATAATCCTTTAAAGTTAATAGCTTAATTAAATGTTTTTATACTAAAGGTTATAATTTTATTAATTTTTAGTTCTTAATGGCTAATACTATTTTATATTTATAATTTAATACTTATAAATTTATTTCTATTAATAGAAAAAAAAAGGATTTAATTTGAATTTTATAGAAGTAAATAAAGTGGCTAATATTAATGATGTGTTGATAGTGTTGAGGTGTGTGGGGTTAGGGGGTGTATGGGGTAGTGGTGAAATATGTTAGTAAGCGCCCTTCCCCTTATATTGACTACTAGATCTTGACCAGGAGAGTCTGGACCCTGGATATCAGGTTTATGTGTAATGGCCTCTCGGACATCTTCGCGGGGTCCGTGACAAGCGATCATTATTACGGTTGTGATGCCATGTTCATGTGAGAATAAATTACTTCTCGCAGACGAAGATAAATATCATTGAGCCCATTTTATTAGGGTACTGTACTTTTAGAGACGTGGAAGAGCTTGTTGAAGATGATTGACGTCTGTGGAATTCCTTAACAATATGCACCCCGGATTTTCTTCCCCGCATCTACAGTGGGGAGTGGATCCTAACTTGGGAAGCCTTACTCTGGAAGCAAGAATGGATAGATATTGGGTTATGCTGCACATCGTTCATTCATAAATTGTTCTAGGACGAAAGCAAGCACCGTCAGATAGTCTTGGTATCGTGTTAGAATGTGCGGTTATTGCCGTGAGTTAGCCTGGCACCCGTAACTCAGCACGGTTGGGGTATAAGATCGAGTCAAGATAATGAAAGCGCGGTGAACTGGAAAACCGACCACCTAGGAAGGCAAGGGGGTGTAATAAAACTTAGGACTTCTATCCTAGGTGACAAAAAGCCTTAGTAAACTTAGGTAAACTTAGTGTAGTTTAGTAGAGATGGAGAGGATCTTAGACTAAGTTTTTTTTTTGACACCTTAGTCTAACGTCAGAAGTCTTCTTACACCCTGAGGGAAGGACAATCGATACGTTGGAGGCTGATGTTCGATCTCTACGTGACCTAGCTAATGTAGCCGGCTCAATTAAGTGTATGCTAGTCTCATGATCGTCTGAACTTGGCTTGAATTGGGCTGACCATAATCGTTCAAACATTTACGCAAACATCTGCTTTGGCATGGCTTGATCAAGCTTACCACAGACTGTGATAGGATATCGCCAGTATTATGCATGCATAGGCCTGTGAAGGGCATGCTGACAGGCTGATAGTGCTATCCGCTCATGGCCGCATGAGTTGACTTGCCATACCTCTTGTACATGCTATAACAAAGGCTATGGCACCGTACTTTGCCTGATACACTACAGTAGGAAGTGCTAAGTTAGTGTTATATTGCACCTCTTTGTCGTTTGTTTCCAAGACCTCTGGCATTCAAGTTGAAGTTGAAGTTGGTGAGGCTCTACAGGCCCATCCTTAACAGTGAATCGCCGCGCTAACTTAACCACTACAGCGGAACTCCGCGGCTGAAGCACTGAACAAAGTCCAGTGCTGTCGTCCAAGATCTGTAATAACCTAGGGCCTTGGGCTACACGATAGGCGAGGGGGCGTGGAGACTCTGGCAACCTTGAAAGAGGAGTCGGGGAACCGGTGTGTGGAGCGTAGCACTCTGGACTTTTTGTTTGAGAGCCTAGAGGGTTTATGGATGCATAATGTTGCAAGTAAATGTTTTAGCGATGGAAAGCAGGAGGACAAGAGTTCCATTTTTTGCTGGGATCGAAGAAAAAGTTGATCCCTGTTTGGTTGGGGCTTATCGAATGTTTAGGTCATACCAGGGGTTGCTAAAAGACTTGAGCGATTGGCTGTTGAGGCGCACGCGACATGCAAAAGCGAATCCCCTTGCGGGTGGTTATGGACAGGGAGTATAGTATAGTGGTTGGTTGTTGCTTTTTGGTAGGTAGTTTTGCTTTTTCTCTGTGGCAACCTGGTAAAATATCTTTAACTCTGTCGTTGGTCCGGGGTAGAGAACAAAGGGTCCTGATGGACTATTCAACGAATTGACGATATTGGCATGGGTTTCAAAATGGCCAACTCCAAAGCTTCCCCCATCCCGATCGATCTTGAACTAACACTTCTTTCGCCATTTGCCATCGTAAAGCTCAAGCAAAGTCTAGGCTCCCACCCCTTTCTAATTAGCTGAATCCTGTGGGCCCAGATGGACTTGGCTACTGGGACAATGAGCAGCAACTAGATCCGAAAGAGGAATAACCCAGCTTCATGGGTTGGATGATCCCCCAAGGCGGAGTTATCCTTCCAGCCGTTTCTGGTTGTGTTCGAGCGTTGAGCACTCAAGAGTGAGGACGGATCCTATTCCGAAGGTCCCGGGAGGTAGGTACAGTACAGTATGGCTGGCAATGAACTTTTGGTTGGTTAGGGCTACCACTCGGCGCCGAGGTGAGTGCTGTGTCCCAGGAAACGGGAATAGCTGCAGGTCGAGACAGGGTTTATTGTTCTCGAGTCAAACGTTACGAGTCAGCGAGAAACAGGTATGTATTCGCCTACGACATATTCTGATATATCCTTGGCGTGCTGGAATGATTTTCCCCAGGAAGCCTTGACTCTAGAAGACTTCCTTGACGAAATGAGCGACTGGTGCTTGCTGCAGGTGCCGTGTCATTTTCGCATCCGAGGGTGATCCCAGGTTGAGAGGACGTTCTCAACGATCTAGAGCTTAAATGGCTTAGTCTGGTGCGGGGAGAGTGAAACCTCGTTCGGAAAAGCGGAGCCTTAACACTTCAGGGCATGCTCAGGGACAAGATGTGCTACCAGGTCAGCACTCTAGTGGCTCCAGTGGTGTTGACGGCCCGCTGTAAAGCACATTCCACTGGAGTAAACTGGTACAGTAATGCACATTCCTCCTGGATTGGTCCTGTCGGGTTCCGGTTCACTGCCCGGCCTGACCTTGGCCCCGATGACTGGGCTGGATTTCAGTGCTAAGCAGCCCCAAGCATCAGCACAAGCATCAGCACAAGCATCAGCATCAGCGCGGGGCTTCGCGGCAAATCTCGTTCATCAGGGCCGGTAGGTCCATTTTTGGGCACATTCCCCAAGCTTCTTTCCACCTCAGTCTTCATCTCAATCTCATATCCTCCCACTAACATTCATCTTGCAGCAAACATTCTTCATTTTGGCTTAATCTTTTGCTATATCTATTTACTTTTCGTCTCTTTTACGATATACTCGTCGCTATACCTTCGCCGCGACTTGACTCTTAACTAAACCTCCGATCCTTCGGACCCAGGCCCCCGCGGCCACTCATCGCGCTTTAACTCGCCTTCACTCACAATGAGACGTCAGAACCGTTCGTGCGACCAGTGTCGCAAAGCCAAGCGGGCATGCGATGCGCCCTCTCTATGGGATATCCAGAGAAACTCAGAAAGGCTTCGAACCGGTGGTGACAGCACCAGCGGTACCTCTCTTGCTGAGGAGCATCTTGGTGAGTTGGTTTGCTCTCCTCAATCCTCCTCCTCCCCCTCCCGCGCCTTTTTCCCGACTTCGACGACGCTAACCGAGGGGCCAATGAAACCACAGACGAGATTGATTCTAGAGCTCTACGATGTTCATACTGCCTTCGTACTCGCAAGCAATGCACATTTCACTGGGTTCGCGCTCAACTACAGACTGGCCCTGCTGCCACAAGCTCAAATATCAACAACGAAGCACCTGCTCAGAATGGTGCACCTCGCCGCGTTCCCGACCAGTCGCGCGCAAAGGCCAAGCGTCAACGTCCGCGCCCTCAGCAGCAGCAACCAGGACCTTCGCCGACTCAAGCTCCTCTACCAACGAACCAAACGCTTGATGTTAATGCAACTGCCTTGCTGGATATGTTGCAGGCACCTCCCACGGCACACGACTTGTCATGTTGGGGGCCAATGGATACAACCGGGTTCGCCAACTTCTCTGCTTTCCCTCACACAACTTTCGATACCATGCCTGTGAACGGCGTCTTTGATCCGACTGCTTTCGATGCTGGCCTCCATAACAGTGTTCTGCAGAGTCTTGAACCTCATTCGACACCAGCACACCCACATCCCATGGATCTCACACCTTCCACAGACCTTTCCGGTCAAGGATTGCATTCACGACATCAAACTGCGGAGGAGGAAAATGGAGACAATGGGTGGCCTCTCTTCCAGACTCATTCGGTTGGCAGCGATGTTCCATTCCAACCTTCACCTTCCGGTTCCAACTCATACGAAAGCGACATCTCTTCTCGGTCTCTCAGCGTGCGCCACTACCCAGAAAGTATAACAAGAAGCTACAGCACCTCTATTTCTCCATTCTCCGTGACGCACAATATGATGACCAAGACGAACAATAACTTGATCTCGGACAACCTGATGAGGATATACCATGATGTTTTGGAGCACGCCCTGTCTTGCTGGCTGTCAGAGGAGACATGTCCCTATAAGCCCAATACCATCACTCGACCATCCAACAACGGTGTCAGTTGGTTGGCATCTCATTTTGAAGGTCTCAGCGTTGGCCAGCCAAAACAGCAAGATAATAGAATCTATCGGCGTGTAATCCAGCTCGACAAGCAAGCACAAAATACGAAACTGATCCGACTCAGTAAATCGGAGGACCGAGCGGCTTCGAAGGCCCTGCATTTGGCTATCATGGCATTTGCTACCCAATGGGCGCAAGGTAGTCAACGTGAGCGAGACAGGTTCCCACAGAACTTGACGCAGATGGACAGCATGAGATCGGAGTTTGACGATATCAACGAGGACTTCGACCGTACACTCCAGAGGACCTTTTGGGCCCAGGCCAAGCGGGCCTTGCAGGACTGCTCAGATATGGAATGTTTCCGTGTGGTTTGTGCTGACTTGATCATGGGACTAGCACAGAAGCCGAGAGATGAGGAGGATAACAACGATATGCCCTTTGGGATGGGCACCTTTAGCGATAGTCCCGTTGCTTCGGGTGAGGGATCGATTGCATCTCAACTCAGCGAAATTATTGCCGCAGAAGGACCGCCAGTATTTATGGAGCGAGCAGCAAGAAAGATGCATGCTCTCAAATTTCAGTACGAAGCTCGCGAGACAGGCGTGTTGGATGCTTCTGGAAGTTCTCTAGGCTTGGAGAAGGCTACATCTGCGGAGTCACTAAGTGAGGAGGACAGGGGTACTATTGGCCTGGTCTACTGGATGACAGTCATGTTCGACACGGTATCTTCGTCCATGAACGGCCGGCCCGTGGTGGTTTCAGACGAGGAGTGCCACCATGACCCGACTTATCCAGACCATCCAGAACACGAATCCTACAATATTGAGTATCGGCCGCAGGATGCCAGATGGTGGGCAGAACTATTTGTCCGCGAAAACAAGGAGGGTGTTCTTCGTTGGCCCTGTTCGTACGATGCTGCTTCCAAGGGTGTCGTCACTGCAGCTCCTATTAAGGTCATTCTCTTCCGACATGTCTCGTACCTCCAGAACACCGTCAGAAGTCGATACCGAGGCGAACCCGTCGAGAAGGTTATTTCGAATGCCATGGCGGTGTACAAGCACTGGAACGTAAGCTACGGTGCCTTCTTTAGGGACCTGGTCGAGCAATACGACAGTGTACCGACACTCATTCAGAGCTGGTTTGTGTGTGTGGTGGCTCATTTCCATTGTGCTGCTCTCCTACTCGCGGATCTGATTGAGCTTGTGGACGAAAATAAGTTGGGTCTGGATTACTCAACTCAAGTGCGGCAGGCAGCTAACGTAGTTGTTTCACTACGAAGAGACAGTGCGGCTATTTTGTCGGACCTCGCCCGAGTCTCGACACGCCCTCGAGCCGGTGATGTTCCAGGCACGGGTATCTCGGACCTGCATTTCGCAGTAGTCGAGGGCTCTATTCTAACAGAGCCTTGGACCATGATTCTCATTAGGGCATTCACTAAGGCGGCCATTCTCCTCCTCACAGAAGCCGAGGAGAATGTGCGACATGAACACGCACCACTCGAAACCCCTGGTGTCATGAACCTGGTCCGCCGATGTGAGGACTGTACCAAGGCGCTTTGGTGCCTGGGCAAGAAGTCGGATATGGCTCGCAATATTGCTAGCATCTTGTCCTCGGCACTGGGACCTTACATGATGCCAACGACCATGTCACATATGCCCATTTCATCCGTCGAACCGGTTATGGTGTAAAGTTTGGCAAAGATGTCTTTTTGTGTACTAATTCGGCGAGCATTTAATGGATTTGGATATTGGGGCGACAATCAGTATAATCAGCGAAACGAACAAACGCAGTCCATACTGCACATGTATTTGTGGGAAAACATAGGAGCGAAACAGTCATTATCGTTGATGAGGCGTTTATGTAGGGAGGTTCAGTATAGTCTGTGCCTGCATATCATTAATGCCAAATTGTTTGAAGCATTACAAGCGGTGGTCCTGTGATTCTGTTTAAATACTGTCAACGTAATTGTCTAGTCGTAGTCACCACCCTTTGCGGTTTCCGAAGGGCAGATACAACTGGTTACGGTTCTCGTGAATAAGAATAAATATGTGTGTGCTGTACTAAGGGCCGACCTCAATGGACGATCCTTTTCTTTTACACCGGCACTGAAATGATGGAAGCATGAGGTTGTAATAAGCTCAGACATCTTACATGCTGTTTCAGCACTGCCTTGAATTAACATCACCTGAGGCCCAAGATGCAATGTAACAACAACATTCGTGGGACCCATTGACGCCGTATGTTTCCCGATATGGAATATCGTCAGACGAGTTAATCTTCCTATTGGCTGAGCGGACTCGCCTTGCTTGACCACACATCTCAAATCTGGAGAGACACGAAAGCTTCCAGAGCTCTATATGCCCTTGTCGATCAAGAAACAAGACTAGACCTTATATAAGTTACTCTAAACAATTGGCGTATCATACACGAGTAGCTCTGTTTTACTCTAAACGGACAGAAAGTTTAAGTTACGTCACATATGAATGTGTCGTTGTAGCTACAAGAGCGATATCTACTCTTAATATCTCAGTTATGTTCGATAAGGGTATCACGTTCACTCAGCATGGGCTTGTTCTTATATTATGCTGAGGCTGTATGGGCGAGTTGCTGTAATGGACACCACTGACTGTTGGATGTGTCTTCTTGGGGTCCAGGTTCGTTCCAACGCAGTGAAGATTGAGGGTCGCCAGTCATGTGATATAAGACTGTACTAATCACTGAGAAGGTTGTTCATTGCTAGCTCAAGGAAGATTCCCATCCAGAGACACACCTTAGCAATGGTTGTTTGGCTGTGACGTCAGGTATTTGGCAACATATCTCCAAACTTGTCACATATTTTCGCGTGTCCGTGTAGCCTTTGGCAAGGACTAAGATTGATTGGATCGCCATCCAAGATTGAGGCTGTGATTAAAGTGAAGCACTGTTTAGATATGGAAACAAGACTTCAGGCTAACAAACTGCTTGAGGGCTGACTCACAGATTCTTTGCCGTTGCCCAAGTTCGTATCGTACAACCTCCGTAAAATCATCCTGTTCCTACAGAATACAGCAAGCTTAATTACGTCTCTTTTCCAAATGGAGAATTGCTTGTTCACTTGCTCTTCGGCCTCGTCATGTCATGAAGATAGGAGTGACACTCGAGCATTTGCAAAAGCTGACAGCCATGTAACGAAAGCAATCAACAGTATCACTGAATGAATTGCTCCTTTTCATATCATTCATGAATCAGATATGCTCTCTGAGTATATAAAGAGCTCTGCAACCACGCTTTCTTTCCAGTCAACTACACACTACTATCCAAGTCTCGGCCTACATAATAAAACACTATTTGAAAACACCACAATACTTCATATTAATCTAGAAATGTATGAAGAAAACTTCTCCCGGCAAATGAGTGACGTCTCCTCAAGCTTCGTCGAGCTCATGTATGAAGCCAACAAGCGCGGCAACCTCCCAGGCTGGCCTGAAACCTACAAACTGCAATCCTTGCGTTCGGACTACAATGATTGGGTTCGAAATCATGGCATGAGACTCGACTCGGGGGTCTCCAATGCTCCTCGAAGCGATCCGAACGAAGATCGCGTCAAACGAGCTGCAATTAGGCTAGCACTTTCCACCCTGGACTCCCAAATCCAGCTGCGTAGGTATTTGACTCCAGGCTATGAATCAACTGTACTGACATTGTTGGGTAGTTATGCAGGACTATCGTGATGGGCCTGATTTACGCACTGCATCTGGAGCGCAGAGTAATGCAAGCAGTGTTGAGAGGAGTTTGACCACTCTTTCGAGGTGGACGTCCTGAGACTATTCTCGTTAGAATTGAGTTGGGTTTTCTGGACCCGACATCAACCTTTATATTCAACGTAATAGTAATATGAAAAGTGACCCGATCATGTTACATTCTTGAACCGCTTGCCCCCGTGTTCCAACAGTCGATATCACTTAGTGAGATTGTCAGTATACCATATTTACCAACTCATGAGTGACACTACATGTAAGGCGTCTAAGTGCCATCAGTATAAATGTTGATTATAGCGTTATTACCTTCTCTGCTCTATGCTGTTTTGTTAATCAGTTGTTACATTTGAAGTCAATGCCAATAGTGGCTTCCAGCATGTGTATAAAGTGACAGCCGTAGGTAATGAGGCGGTGTTTTACATGCCCAGGCAGTAACTATAACAGTCACTCGGCGAAATTCTGTGCGTTTAGGCAGTTTCCCTGTTGCAGAATCCAATGCTTTGGAATGAATGCTACTGCATATAAAACTATCATGAGCCTCTCCTCGAGACAAAGATTGAATTCATAACGACTGAGTATGAAGATCCGCTGTTTTAAAGACTGAACTCGAAAATGTTGGATGCGCTTGTTGAAAATCCCAAAGAACGAAATTGACACCAAAAAGATGACCTGAAGACTTGCAATGATCCCATGAAGCCTGATAGAATACTTCCGTTGCGTCTATCAAACCGTACAATCCGTTCTCTCTGATTTGTCAGGATTTGGTACTTGAGTGGTCTCCCTCGGCCTTCAATTTTCTATCCTTAATCAGTACTCCTAAGATGTGTGTTAGCCTGGCGGTTACCCAATATAGGGCGAGGATTTCTTGCCACAGTGGTACATCTCCTCAATCATTTCGATGGCTATGTGCAAGTAGTGAAAGTAACTCCCGGTCTTGTGTAGTAGCGCCTCGTAGACTGGCCGTTGAGTGTTAGCTCTATCCAAACTTCCATAACTGATTATTACATACGGTCCTTAACGGTAAGACGTACAGTCTCCAGGCACACTGGACGGTCTCTTGCTGCAAATGATTGACTCAAAAGGGCTGGGTGCCGATAACTGGTAGAGTAGGCCCTAGGGATGCGGCGTGGTATCTGTCTTGGCGGAAACGGCTCGCCTTCGGGGATGGTCCTATAGTTTTTGACCCAGTTCATGAAGACCACCTCCATTTTCTCGATAGTTTCCCAGTCCGGGTAATATGCTTCTCCGTCCCTTGAGGTAGAATTTACCTCGGGGAGGTCCATGATTTTTTTAAGACAGAGGCGAACGGATAACGCGATAGACGATACGCGAAGGAAATCGCTGTGTCGTACAGTACGGAGGCGTCGACCAGACATATCGAATATGGATAGCTTTTCTTGGTAGTGATTTTATTTAGTAAGTAGGGCGAAACGAGTTGATACAGATGCTTGTTCTGGTGTACCTGTTATTGGTGATGTAAAGTGCAGGTATGTCGTGAGTTGATGTTGACCTGATGTGTAGTTACCTGGGACGAAGGTAACACTGGCCTCCATTTGGTCCTGCCTCAAAGTTATCATGGCTTATAACTGGAAGCTGTGGAAGACTCAGTTTGGTATGGGCCATAGGTAGTTTGTTGCTTCCGTTTTCGACAGTGTTGTTGGGTAAATGTCAGTCAGTCACGACTCCTACTGCTAACGATAATGGCCAAGATCCAACCATCACTGAGCATCATCTCTAACGAACGGCACACGATCAACATCACCGATATTAAACAGTTCTAAGCACAGAGAGAGGCCAATCTTCAAAGCATCATCGTGTTCTCGGGGCCTGCTTCTTTATCTCATCATTTCAATCATCAACTTGGCCACCATGGGTCACCTCTCGCAAATCGAAGCCATCATGGAAGCCTACGACGACATCCTCTACCACTATAAAGATTACCACAACCATCCCTTAAACATGCCCAAGAAACAAGTCATTCTACGACAAAAGGCGGATTTCAACTTCTGGGCAATACATTCGGGCGTATGCATCCCAGAACTTGACCTTGAACACGAGTTCGAACGGGAAGCGGTAAAAGGACTTGACGCCTTCGTCGCGACTGCAACTAAACGTGAGTTACACCAAATTTCAGGTTAAAATCGATGGTTCGCTTACATTTTCAGTCGAGAGACTATACCAAGAAGCTCCAAGTCCTGAAGTCACATGGCGGGCAGAGGAGTATGTAACCTCGCTGTCAGAAATGCTGAGCCAGCTGGCTCATATATTCGGCGTCCTTGTACCTTCGTTGCAGAACACAGGAACGGCTTCTGAGCAGCCAACTGAAGCTTGATGATGATTCGGTAAAAATGATTGTGGCACAAGCATATACTTAGATAAACGCTCTGCACGAAGTCATTAATACGAGGTATTCTGAACTGTAACAAGAAACAGAGCAGAGAAGTGAATTTTGTATTTAAGTTGGTCGTGAGATCCTAACTAAGTCAGTACCACAGCATCATATGTTTCCTTGCCCGGAGTCTCAGTCAATGTGTTCAGTACCAACGAGAGCCCTTTCTAGTAGCCAGTCATTTATATATAGTATATTAGCACCTCCTTGCAGCAAGTTTCCACTCTAAGTATTTAATCCATGATTGGCATGGAGTTCTACAGTGAATTTTACTGAGCATAAGCAAACTACCCGATCAGTCCAGGGTAGGTATGTTGATGCGCTGAGGCGTGGTTTCACATCCGTTGCAGACTCAATAACTTATAAGTGTATGAACAATGATGGATCTTTTGTGACTATATCAACTTTGGCGCCTACCTGGTGTATGGCCAAGGGAAGGCATAAGTGTAGATGTGATTTAATGATCATGGTTTAGGTAGCCACTGCTGCACTTCAGATACACCAACCACAACGTTGAATACAGCCTCAATACAACCATGGCACGAATCACATGTTGATTGATTTGGAGGTTGTTCGGCATCATTTCGCGTTGGCGTATTGACATTGTATACGCTGCTAAACGCTCCATCATTGCCAAAGATGAGCCATTTACCTACAGATACAACGCTGTAGCGTTTCCTAAGCTTTACGCCATGATCGTTTACAGAGTCCTCACGAGACATGTTCACCCTGGCATTTCCGAGGGAAACGGGATGCATCCTCTTGGCTGTAGTGTCACCCTAAACTGTTACTGTGCATAGTAGACTGCCAGTCGGATGCTGACCGCACTTAAGGCCGGCTCAACTGAATATCCCCCGCGAAGCGCGGGGAGGTCATATGCAATGGTCATGTCAATGCAGACTGAATCATGTTGAGTCGCATAGCGCATAAACATATATGTCACTTTTGTTTTATCTTGCCGTCTGAAAATTTGAAATCATGCGATCGATTTGGAGAAACCAGTACAGGGCCTAGTGATCGACTCCGGCCGGGCGAACCGTCGGGGTCTTGATCAGCATGATTTCATGGAGGTTTGAGAAACTACTCGAACCAATCGTGATGGGTGAAGATGAGCTCTTCGTCACCTCGGAGGGTTGCCATGCAGGCAGGATAAGCACTTGAAGATTGGTTTAGTCACTGGGAATTACACGGGTAGAGAGAAGTCTTCGGCTGCTCGGTTCGTTAGCTGCTCGTGCTACTGCCCGTCTTTTTGGTGAGACAAATTCCTCGATTTGACATTGCCAAGACGGCACTCTACGATTTGAGATATGCTAACGAGTGACTATTTTGGGAGGACAATTTTCACAGACCTTAATCGGCTACCGTTCGCTTAAAATTTCGGTTCTCAAGTGATAGACATCAGATATCTTCAACGCGTTGTCACCGTGGATCTGAAAACCAAGACTTTTGATCTTAGATGAAGATCAATGCCGTCCTAGATCTCAGAATCCACCTCTTTTGGGCATGATCTTGCAGTCTCGAGTCAGGACAAAAGATTGTCGTCTGTATAACATCTACAACGTTTCTGGGTGCATACTGGACTGCAGAGAGCTGGTTTCACAAAATAGTTCCCGCAAAATACATGGAGAATTTTCAACAGCGATGATCCTGGAACCTCATGGTTGGGCAAGTCACCCGGCCACAGAACTAGAAGGTAATGAGTCGTGACAAAAGCTATACAGAGAATCTCCCCAGTTCGATATCGACGCAGATCTTGAGTAATTGTGATAACGTTATCCACAGAACCACAATAAAAACACCTCGAGTTGAAACTTTAAAGTTTGAAATCCCACAACGTTCAAAATCCATAAAAAAAACAGAAGAATGACCTCATCAGTTGTTGATTCTGGGACCCCTGCCCATGGACCGGGTACCCCGGTCTTGAGGATCGTAGACTGGATGGCCCAAGCTCTATACACGGCCTTGCCCGAGATTGGAACGACTGAGGAAACGAGACTAGAAGGCTGATAGAAGCCTTCTGTTGAACAAAGATGAAGCATGGACGCACACAATCAAGGCCTTTTCAATAAAGTGGCAATTGGTTACGGAGTACAAGGGAGATGCTTCCAGCCGAAAGGTGACAACTCACCGCTGCCAGGACGACGCGTGTTGGATGTTTACGAAAAAGAAAGCCTAGATGAGGCTTGTAGAACGTTACATCCAAGGAATCATTTAGAGTTGGCGATCAGCGCTGAGTTGGCAAGCCTGGGCTGTCTATGGAGTATGGACCATTACAACTCCCGAGCGCAAATTCACGGTTCTTCGTTTAAGGTGAGTTACTGAATCGCAAGAGCTTCTGTTTCTAGGCCATGTTTAAATTAATATAAGCGTTGATGGCCTGGTCGTCAAACTGGAACCACTGCCTCACCATTGAATGCACGAGCCTCATGGGCAAGGGTTTTTTATGACCAAGAAATTTGACATGAAACTAGGCTCTTCAAGGCGGCGCTGAAACAAGGGCCGCCGTTCATTGACGAGAAACCGTTCGCTTTGGATAGAAATAGAGATATAATCTCATATCGTGTGATTCGTCGGAGAAGGAAGTTGTTCATTGGATATATCAGATGACCGGAAATGAAACGGTTACAGGCGAGTTTTATTCTACGGAGTTACCCCCGACGATATTCCCAAGATGCACTGGAATCATATCATATCGAAAGCACAAGTAAGCTAGAAACAGGGCGATATGAAGCCTCATTCAGCTGTGCATAAAACTCGCAAGTATCGTCTCGGCATTTTCAAGCCGGGCAGAATAGTCGTCGGCATCATGGATCAATTTCGGCATTTTGTGTAACCGAAAAAGAAAAAGAAGAAGAAAAGAAGATAATCCTTGCTTGCTATGGATGACGGCTGATTTGTGCATCTATTGCCACTCCATACAGCCCATATTTCTGTCCACTACATGCTTTTGCAAAGTGCCTTATTAGCAGACCCATTGATCAACTGGCTTGGACAAGAAAGGTACATGATCCTGGCGAGTACCCTGCAAACTTTTAGGTTTTTTCTATGATGAGAGAAAATTCTCGGATTGGGTTGAGGCTCTTTGCTATACTACTAACATCATGAATCTGTTCCTCGGCATGAGACCTTCGTATTGGTAAGAGCTAAAGTGAAGCCCGAATCCACAGATTACGACTCTGATGTCAAGGTGAAAAGTACAGGACTTCATTATCTGCGATATGTAATATGCAACGTGCTGACCTTTTGTTATGTCATCTCCCCCCAGATGGATCATCATGGATGGACCCTAAGATCTTGGGATTCTTTTAGTGGAGTCGTTCTTTTGTTTCGGGACCGGAACGGCCACCAACTTATACTCTTCGTTGGTGTTGATCAATCATCGAATATTCCCTTCTTGTCTAGTTCTCCAAGTTTAGGTTTCTCGGATTTCTTCTCAGTGACAGTGACAGTGACTCTGACAAAGCGGAGGCTGTCACAATCAGACTAGGATATGGTGATGGCTTGAGTTTATACATTCGGCACATGCCATGTCACGACCGCAGCAGACATTACGTAGTCCGTTTTCGGGGCTTAAACAAAGACCCTTACTCTATCTGCATCTCTAAAGAGTAAAGCCTTTGGATCTAGAGACAGGGTTTCGCCTGGTGCCGCGTCACCGAAAGTAGTGAACCCCATTCAATCGTACGGGGTTTGGGCTCCGCAGCCTCCGGAGCTCCCTCGCTAAGTTATTCTCTCAGCGATGGCAAGAGGCATTGATGAAGCCTTTTTTTTTCTTACTCTTGACTGCTCTTCGGATAGCACGGGCAGTCTGTCTGAGTGTTTTCTTCGGAGGGTGGCTTAGATTCCATGGTATGACCTCAATTTGACGGGAATATAATTACCCCAAGGTCAGACTCACTCAGACATGGCACGTAGATAATAACGCCCCCCTCTCTCTCTCTCGTCCTTGTTCTTCTCACACATTCTTGCCGGCCCCATCTGTGTGCTCATCTGTCTCGATCTGCTGTGACTGCATCACCACCACCACCACCACCACCACTACTACCAAGATCTTTTTAGTGCAGTGTCTTTCTCGAGCGGCACAAGAAACCCTGTCTGTGACAGCTGTCGCCCTTTTAGGTCACCTCAGTTCCTGTTCCTTGTCAGACCCTCAGTTGATTTGCTCGTTACCTTGGTTGTTCCTGTTGCATACCTCGACTCGTACGTATTGACTTAATTTACTTGCTGGTTTCCTGCTTTTTGTCCAACGACCAACTTTCCTATACCTCTCGTCTCATTTCCCGTTCAACCAGCCCAGATCTGGCCAGGTTCTCGCTTGTCTATTTCGCTCTGGCCGGTCTCAAACTTCAGCCCAACAGCCTCAAGTGAACCGTGCTTCTCATCCGTTTGGCATTGGTGTTGGCGCCCGACGATTGCGTTCTTATTCTTATTAAGGATCCTATTCTTCCTGTCCCCGCTGTGTCATTCATTGTTCTTCTCCGCCCCAGCCGCCTTGACCGTACTTGTTAACTCACCATCGTCAGGCCGAGCTTGAGTTGAGCTGAGCTGAGCTGAGCTAAGAGTCTCCAGAATCTCAAGCGATACAGAAACAGAAACAGAAACGGAGAAGCGAGAGATCAGACCAGACCAGGGTTGCCGGGGCCTCAAATTCTCATCACCACTGGTGTCTTCGCGTCAGAGGCTACAGGTGCACTAGCCACAAGCGAATCCCTTGAATCTGATGTTTCGGATTTCCATGTTTTAGCACAATTGCAAAAGGTACGTATTTTTATGTTTCTCGTCTGAATATCCGTATCCAATGCAATCGGTGGTTTTTCTTCTCGTCTTATGCCTTGATCTTCAGTCACACGCCCTGTTTCTGTGTGTCTTTTACTTGATTCATCAATAGTCTTGATATTGAATCATGTACTCAGTCCCAAGTGGGATGAAAGCGGATAGTGTCA